CTAAGTGGGACCAGCCACGGCTGTCCACAGCCACATTGTGTGGCTGACATGACGCAGTGGTAGTTTGTGGGGGTTACGTGGGCATTATATTCCTGCCATATCAGTACATTTTAGGCTGTGGTTGGGGATTGCAGCGGATCACATGGCGAGGCTCTAACCTGACGGTTGAGTATCCAAAGGCAACACGCTTTTATGTCTCCTCCCAGAGCTACTTGCTGAGTCACGTTGGTTTTCCTTAACCGTTCTTGATTGAGTGCATTGCCTGTGTAGTGATTCCTATTGATTCACGTCCAATAACTCAGTCTTCCTTTTCATGGCGTACCCGTCAGTCACGTGAAGCCACCGGTTCATTAACCTCCTGCATGTACCACCACCAGCCGCTTTATTCGTTTGACCTCACAGACGCTTGTGTTTATTTTTGCATGTTCACTCAACTGTATTAGCACGACACAACGTTGTTGAGGTATCTAGTAAACGGTAGTGCCTGTCGTCCTTGGACTTATTTCCTTCCTAGGTCACTTCGTGTCGTAAAGGTCCTCAAAAAGTGGATCTAAATGGATTGACGCAAATGCAAGTTGTCAGTGAGAGGTTTGAGGGCTAGGATGACCAAGCGAAGTGCAAACAATGGCGAAACCTGAGTGAAGTGGCGAACAATCACGAGGAATCATGGCCGTAGTCTAATCAGAAGTAGTCTAATATCGGTCAGCATTTTCAAGTGGCAATCATTAACTACAACGTAACTTGTACCTCGTCAACCAATAGATGCTTAAATACATGCTCTTTTGTAATAATTTTAAGACCGATCCTACTCACTTAAAACCGAGTCTCTTCGAAACTGCAGGATGACTTCAGAGGTCAGAAGTTAACCGTGCTTCATTTTGAGAAGCCATGTAATTAAGCCCAACGTGATCGAAAGTATGATGGTTTGCTTTAGCGGATTGTCTTGTTCGAAAAATGGTGGGAATTCTCATGGCAACAGCCTCACAGCAGATTGACACAATTCCGGAACGGATTGTCGCCAACTGTTGACAATCAGATGTCCAGATGAATGCATAAACTGCTGAACCAATCAAAGGTCAACATTTTTCGCCTTCGCCCAATCTGGCGCCCGAATCCCGTTTTAACCCACGACTGAGGGATTAGTAACAGACTGCATATGGACAAAATGCACTAACATGACCGTTGACATAAACCATCACTCCGTAAAAACAGACCCTCAATTCCATTTTAACTGCCAGCCTCAAGTGCTTACTTCATGTGAGACTTCGTTCAAGCTCTTTTTTCTGAGTAGACTGCAGCAAACGCTGTCACGAAAGTGATAATTTCCCCAACCCAAGATAAATGAATAAAGTTCTAAAACTACCACAACTCCAGCATCGGTGTATCCTGTGTGTTATGACCTCAAGCTTGATGTCAGTTTATTTCTTTCCAGTCATTTTATTCGCATTGTTTCGAAAACCATTTATCGTCGTCCAAACGCTGTCACGTAAGTGATAATCTCTCAGACCAACGATAAAGGACTTAAAGTTTCTAAAAATGCCACAAATACAGAATCGATGTTTCCTGTGTGTTTGACCTCAAGTTTAGTGTTAGTGCATTTCTTTCCAGTCATTTTATTCATGTTGTCTCTCGAAAACTATTTATCGTCGTCCAAATTCCAAACTGATTAGACTATAGACACTTGATGTAACTTAAGTACACTCCAAACAGGAAGATTTACATTTGCACAATTAGCGCCAAATGTGCCGTAAGCACGTAAAGACAGGCGACAATGTCACTTTGAACTGACAGGGCAAATCTCCGGGTATTGTGACACATAAAATCCCATGTAAATTCTCGGTAGGACAGTGACCGCTTTTTTAGATGGCAATCGATAAGTGTAGTCAACTTGTCTCAACTTTCTAGACCCTGGGCCATTGTGCAGCGATTTATCCGGTGGCCGTCAAGCCTTTGTCAGTAAAATGCGATTCAAATTGTTTGATTTGATACGCAAATTACAAAAGTCATGAAACTGCATAAAGCCGTGCTTTGTGATCACGTAAAATTGAGAGAGGACTGAGGTTGTTGAAGTAGGCATTTAATATTTGCCTTTAAATAGCTGCAGAGGGTTGACTTGCGTGTGAAGTGGCAAAAGCATGAATTTCACTCGCGTGTACTGAATACGAAATCGTGATATAACATCCTAAGATAAGTGAACTTGGTGCTAAATAGTAAAGCTATCACCTAGATATACATATCATTATGCATAAATGATGCGTTTCTACATCAAATGCTCAGACGTTTGACGTTTGTTTTCAAATAGATGTGAGGTGTTGCCGCGCAGTTGCGCATGAAGTGGCAAGAGTGTTGTGAATAAAAAATCATGATCTGACACTCCAAGATAAGAGAACGCGATGTTGATCAGTACAGCTATGGATTGGTTATTCATATTATTGCACACAAATCGGGCATTTCTGGATCAAATGCCCAGGCTCCCACTGCAGTTGCAACCCCAACATGAACAAAATCGAAAAAGGCCACAGTGGTCTAAATGCTTCGTCTTACTATGGCACGTCACGCTGAACTCAGGCCTATCACTTTATTCTTCGCAGTGGCCCAGTTGGACGACTGAACGTTTGCGTGTGCATGCGAGCGTCACAAATAGTATGGTGGAGCATTTCACTTGGAAATTGTACCGTTATGAATCGCGGTGTTTCATACTCGTCAATCCGGTCAGTCCAGCCTCCGTCACACAGGGTTCCCATTTTCGTAGTATGTCGCCAATCGCTAGGATCCTCAACTCCCTTATCATTAGCGCGTAGGATTAGCCTCGATTATCCTCACACCTAGGTCGCGATGTTAGCGCATCTATGACTCACACCACTAAGCCATAAATACACGCACAAAAGCCACACACAACACAACGGCACCAACTTGGCTGAGCCATGAAGTAAACGGGTGTGCCCACGTCCCTTTTTTCTTATTCTTCAGGGAAGCGTAATCGGGTCAGATCCAACTCAGCGGCTCCGATGTTGTTCAAGACAGCATGCTGGGTCCCACAGCAGTGCGTCAATGTTGGGTATCAGGCCTACAGACTGCGTCGATGGATGAGCGCTACTGTACGAAGTTTGGAGGCATCATCACTTTTTGTTAAATTAATGACAATCATTCATTTGTTGTACTCGATTTCCCCGGCCTGCCAAACACGTTAACTAACTAGTTATCGAATCACGTGTGAACGAACAGTCATTTATACTACGAGATCACTGAAGGGCTTTCTCCCAAAAATTGCTACATTTTTGTCCTGACAAATGCCTGTTTTTCCAGCCACAGCCCGGCTTAGCCTCAAGCTCAGCAATCTTTACTTACACCGCTGAGCAGAACGCATTCACATTCTCCATGCTTAAACTCTCGTCCTGTCCTCTTATCGCCGATTGCAGACGCAAATCAGTGGTGTCACACAGGGACGACAACTCAACATATACAGTGGTACCATCCAATCAATTGATGGTCGCGTAACGCAATTTTCAGTTCCCTTTAATTAATATACGAGTGAGTAGCACCAATACCACCATTAATGTTTAATTGTAGCATAATTTTAACACATGCCAACATTGTGCAAGCCAAGCACTCTGGAAGTAAAAAGGCACACGTAATGGTGCAAATACATAGTAACAAATATGGAATTAATTGCCCAAAACAATTCCATGACAAACAAAACGTATTTCGACCAGACTCACGGGGAGGCAACGCTCAGTCAAAGTACTGAATCAAAGCTACCATGGTGTAGGGAAAATGATCAGACATTGTGTCCACATTGTGCAGGTCTATGCCCAGTTTTACAGGTGTCATTCCGAGAAACACATTATCGTATCTCGTATTAATGCACTGGTGATGGACATGTCGCAGGCAATGTCAGGAACCTTCGAGCTGATTGCTGCAGAAGACGGTCGACAAGAACCTAATAAAATGCATCTGCATCTTTGGACAATCAACCCCAATTTGTGTAAAGCATCCTCAAGTTACTGTCATAAAATAACTGACTTAATCGTAAATCAGTTGTCCTTTTTATTTACTGGCCTCCGATCTGCATCCACGCATAACATTAGGCAAATTAAATCCCATATGTATTGGATTACAAGAGTTAGGTGGTTGTTGAACATAAAACTAACGTGAATAATGTTTTTCTCGTAGACTAAAGCCTAATGTAAGCACCAGACGACGTTTGTCATGGTCAATGAAGCTTCCTGGTAGGCCTCAGCAGGTTACTTAGTTGCAACGTTATCTAATGCAATGGGCATTTTGACGATTCAACCTACAATGTTGTACTTCATCGAAAGAATTTAATCTAAATACCCGTGTTCTGGCAGCACATTTGACTGGATGAGAATCCACGAGTCGCTGTGGCCCAAACACAGGTGGTCGTGAAGACTCATGGAATTGCTATGAATCTACCGTGCCACGATTTTGGGCTAACGGAAAATACCAGCTAAGTGATTACTGCAACAGTTCTCCACGCCGTGTGCTGTTCTCTTGTACCCACACTCTTCCTTCGAGATGTGGATAGCGATTTCTCGCTACATGACACTGCATGGCCTATGTTGATTCGAACAAGCATACTTGCATTTTCAGCCAACGAGTTAAGTTGCATTGGTGAGTTCTTCATAATAGAAAGCTGCTTCTGATTAGTACAATGGACCTCAGTCGCGATGTACTGTTGACTATTATCAACCAAATCAGTCCCGTGGCATAGCCCAATCCTTCATGTTCACTGGCTGATTCTTGGTGCATTTTTAGTTAGCATTGCCATTTAAGTGCCTGCAAATAAGGCAAATGTCTCCATGGAGTTACAGCAGCATTTACATATTTCCGAGACATAATTGGACATATACTAAAAACCCTATTCACACATTCTGGCAGGAGCTTAGTAATAGCGCCAAATTACTCAATTAACGTAACAAAATGCGAATACTGAACAACAAAATGCAGCCATTACTGATTGACAGATTAAGAATCTTTCGTTAGCGTTTGAATGCATGTTCGAAATACTTGCTTAATGCCACCATCGCAGGTTGCGTCCCGTTTTTTCTCTCATCGTATTCCTCGTGATCATACATTGCGTCCACATTGTGCAAGTCGATGTCCAGTTTAAATGCTATCATCCCAAGAAACACATCCTCCGGTGCGTAATTGAAGCGTGTGTATGCGCTCGCGATGGCCAGGTCGTCGACGATGTCGGCTCCTATAAATTGGGAAAATCCACGTGGATACTGATACATCAAATCCCAAGGGAATTCGCGGTAGGACAGGAACCACTTCTTCGTTGGCGATCTATACGCGTAGTCGAATTTGGCAATGAATCCGAAAATAGACTTTCTCAATGTTTCCGTTGAAACACTGTCGAGCATCTTCGCCACCATGGTCAGATTCACGCGATGATCGTCGTCAATAATCATGAACGTGTTGCCATGGTGCTTGTTGCAGAAAGCTGACAGCCATCGCAGGTTTGTGATGGTCTTCCACGTCAAGTTGAAATACGTGTCCTCGTAATCTGCCAGTACTATGTCACCGAAATCCTCGATTTCCCTATTGATGCGTTCCATCACAACATCTTCCTTGCCATCGAATTGCTCGAGCATGTCACCACTGATTCCAGACAAGCTGATGATATTGCCTTCGCGATTAAACATTCTGCCACCTTGTATGCGTGGCATTCCGAGACTGAAGACGACTCCCACGTTGAGCTGCGGACAGCGAGATCTCTCGCGTTGCATGAAGGCGCGAAATGCCATTCTGTCGTCCCATCCGAGAATTCCACTTTTCACCACAATGACTAGGTCGTGTTTGGTGTTGCGTGAACAGACTGTCGAGCTGGTTTGCAGAATGTGGATGGGGAAATTGTACTCTGGCATCTGGCAAACGGATGACAGTAACTGGATTTTATTGAGAGTATCAGTGAAACATTGTGAATTTCGCTTTCACAAAGCACTTATTTTAATCATGTGAAATTATATTTTTTTTGCTCCATGCTTTGCAATTTCTTGTTTCCTAGTCTTCTTTTTCATTCTCCGCTTCTGGCCAAGTCTTTTTTGTCTTTATTTTGACTATCAATGGTTAAACGCATTCTGATATCAAACAAACTTGCGCTCTACAGGTGATTATCCACAGCAAATTCGTCTTATCGTTTAATTTAAAACGGACCAGTTTCCTTATTTTAGTTGGAATAATTTTGTGATAGATATGATTCTTAAGAAAAGAAATCAATTTTACATTAGTGACGGTAAGGCCCACTTTCACAGCCTCGACGATTTGTTTTAGTGGAACGTCTTGAGGATACGTGCGATACACCTCAGGATACTTCGCCCTTTTCCACAATGTTCGAGGCAACGCTGCAAGATCGTCGAAAGACACCTCTAGATTGGTTCGCGAAACCTGAAACAGATGAGTGAGGGGGTAAGTCTTTTGTCTCCTGGTCATCAACTCGCTTGCCTCTAGTCGAACGCAAAGCGTTATATTGTAGCCAGCCACGAACTGAATGTCTTCAACCCTTTGAGGAGGCCATCGGCAAATTTGGTAGGAGGCCGATACGTGCGATTTTTCACCAAATCCACCGATGACTTTGTTTAGTCTCCATAACTGCATAGTAAAATTAAGTACAAATAGACCAGTTAACAGAACAGAAATCTTGAAGGAAATTGTTATTTTCCGTCTCATCTTCAATGCGCGAAATGAATTGCATATTTTGATGACGCTGTGATATATTTTAGGTGTATGTTGAAGTCTATTGGCTAAAACGTTCATACCAACCTATTCAAACAAACATTTACGAGTATAGAGTGCAGATTGAGCCTCAGCTGCCGTCAATTTTGTTTCATGTGATAAGAAATTTATCGCTCCAAGTTTTCAATTCGCTGTGTATTGACAAGGAATTCGTAGGACGAAGAAGGCGTCAATGGGTGAGCTTTGACTTCCAGTTCCGCAAAACATCACAAGTTATTATTTAAATGCTGCCTTCTATGTACAAATGCGGCCCTCACGAAATGTCGGTTCTTTCCACAAAGATAAATGTGATAAATTATTAGCTGATAGAAAATGTCTTCAGAAGTCAATAATTTGGTCGTTTATTAATTGTTACACCAGAAGCTTTCAAGATACTGTTCTTGGAAAGACGCAGGCGATTTCGTAAAACTCGTAGGTCATATCGTTGGATTAGCCACATCTGTTATGGACATTTCAAGGAAATTCCATTTGCATGTGCGAGAAACGTCAATTGCCGTGGTGGTCTCTTTCAAGATACTCACGCCCAACAACCATGGGAATGTGGGCATTCATAGATCTGAAGACAATTTTAATTAAGTCCACTTTGCACCTGCGCGTGCGTGGCAGCTCGGGACTGAATACAATTAAATATTAAGTTTTCGACTGCAGGCTTTCGCGCGCTGCAGGAATGGACCAAGTTTCGTGCAGCCTGGCTTCACTAAACAACTCTCACCTTGCTGAACCAGCCTTCATCTCTGGCTCCAATCAACTCCGGACGACGTCAACTTCATGGAATCGGCCTCTTCTCCAGTCTGCGTGAACGTGTAAAATCTCTGAAGACAAAATGCACAGATAGGTGGAATGAGTGTTGAACGAGGTAGGTGCACAAGAATGCTTGAACAGACGCCTCCGCGAGTCCGACGGGAGAACCGTGAAACGGGGACGGTGGCTAGTCTGAATATGCGACGACCGGATTAGTGGACGTGAATTGCCACGACCTTTGTGTAAATCGATGTCAGAGTGTGTCCGTGTCAATGTACAGTTAGCAACACTAACAAGTAATCGATGAGTCGATGAAGCAAATTTGCACGTTTTGCGACTGCAGTCCATCTTTTTGCACGGGTTATCAGAGGAAGCTTCAGTTCCGTGACAAATGCCACCGTAACTGAAGACAAATCCACTTCAAGTCGTGTTTCTTTGAATCACTAAGGTGGGAATCAAATCCACAGCGCACTCACATCCACAAGTCTTAGTCTGCTACTTGTTGGTTTGTCTTTGAATTAAACTAAGTAGTCAAATTCTCATAGACCGAAGTGCATTCTACCGATTGGCATAGTCAAGACTCATGTTACAGCTGACATAGTCGGATGTGTGGGTTGTACCTTGGGAATTCTCGAAATAGCAGCAGTATGTTTAAAGAATGTTTGAACCCTCCTCAGTGTCAGCGTGGTCAGTGCGTACAAATGAAAAATGTGATTGTGGCGTCGGTGTGACTTCTGACACAATGAGGAAGCACGAAACGAACCAGTATTTAACTGATGCACATAATTCTTCTGCAAACTCAACTTCACTCTTCAAATACATCGTGCATCAATTCACAAATAGGCTTGCGGTCATCGCTTGCTTCTCTGCAGTACGCTATGCGCATGTTCACCCCTATAAACAAGCCACGTATCTACACAGAATCAGCTATTGTTTACCTCAACGTCATCTCAACCCATATGACTTACTGCCGATGTCAACGACAGCAATGATGGAGTCGACTACTCCACTCCTTCAATTCAACACCGACACCAAACATGTCCCCCGAGTTTGTGGTATTTTGAGAGTCTGTTGTTTGCATGGTTGCAGTGGTTGGTCTGCAGACGCGAATGAGTGGACATTTGTCCGAACGCGTTTACTGCCTGCTGATCGGCACTGGTGACGCACTTGTTCCTTTGAATGGTTTCTGCTCAAAAACAGTTGATAATCGCTCTTATCTTCCCCCACACGAGGCACAAGCACATGGCTGGGCTGCGCTCAAATCAACGGTTGAACCCGCTGTCACCTGCCTTGTCTCCATTCTCTGGTTGTAAGGGACTGGTAGCTGGCTCGGTTGTAATGTGGTTTAACGCAACCCTGCATTTGGCGACCACGATTGGATATTTCCTTTAATGTTATCACAACCCTGTCTTCTGTAAACAAGGACTGGCATTTGGCTGTACACTTTTGGCATTGTATGTTCGAGTCCCTGGCAGCTAGCAGCGTTATTTTTCTTTTCTTGTCGGGCTGTGTCGACGTTGGTCGTAGGCACCAACGTGGGACGGTAATTACAATATGTTACAATATGTGCACATTTCAGGTGCCATGGGTCATAATGTTGAAATAGGTAACTTGGTCCATGCCACAAGTGTTCACATGCATGCATATCATGCCTTGCACGACTTCGCACAACAAAGTATGTTGTAATCGAAGAGGCTAAAGCTCAAAATCGTTGTCCAAACCATATTACCAACAGTCTCACAAGCATCACGTTTCTATGCTCTGCACTGGATTGGCGCATTCTCGACCAATCAGATGTCGTCCACTCGAAACAGTGAATACGAACTTGGACCAAACAAATCGATTGTTAACCATAGGATAGATGGCATGGTGAGGAAGTTAGCAGACGAAGTCAAAGAATTATTGCCGTGGTAAATATTATTTGCAAAATTGAGACTCAAATCCAGGAAATCAATACTAAAGCAGGAAATTCCGTCAAGGTGGTACCAGAAAGGCATTATAGAAATTTTTTTTTCGGCAAGTATTTTTTAACTCACGTTTTCAAAATAGTGCCGAAATTGGTTTCACAGTGTAGAATACCCAAGCTCTAGAATGAATTGGACAGGAAAATGCGATCAGGCCTCATTCACTAACCACATTCCATGGCCATCCATTTGCTGCCGTCCATCCGAGACCTCGATGCTGTCTACACTGATCATTTTAGCGTTTTTTGCATTCATTCTTGTCCCTGGTGGTTTGTTGATCTTCTACGGGCCCATTAAAACTCACAAAGCTGAAACATTCACCTTATCTTGCTTGATCCAACATGTCTGTGTTCTATTACAGCACTAAAACTGCAAGTTGTAGTAATATTGCCGCTCTCTTGAGCGCGTGACGTGACAAATTTGGGTTAGCTAAAGTATTTGAGGAAACAGTGGCGATATGTCTACATGGCCACCACTCTCATTATGCATGTCCTCAGCAGCAACTAGTGTCCGGTAACAAGTCGTTATCAAGTCGAGTCTTAAGCAGCCTCCAAGACCAACGTCCCATCGGCCAGCTACAGTAATTAGCAACTTGAAAATGAGTGCGGATGTCGTACGTGGCATGTCTTTTAGAGCTGTCTAGAACAAACTGGGTGTCATGACGGCACATGCAAACGAAATTCATTATTAGTACCCCGAGCTAATCAGTTTGTATACGTCTGACTTAAGGTGTCACAAAAAAACAGTCGTCTATTCAAAGAGCCTGCGTTTTTTGAAGATATTCAGGTAACTATGGTATGAAAGAGAAACGTGAGCGAATGTGCATGGGGTATTTTGAACCGGAATCGTGGAGGAAAGAGGCTCTGGCTCAAAAATTGGCTGCAGCATCGAATAAGATTTTTAAACTACTGAACCTGTCAGTGACCTGGAAGAGGCGAACAGATTAAGTGCTGAAGTCAGCTATAGTGGTACCCAGCTTTGCGTCAGTCGTCAACATCTCAGGTGTTCAAAGCAGCCAAACACGCATGCTGGTAAGATCTTTGGGTGAACTGTTGATGTGGAAACCACTTCAAGTTTGTTGGTGCAAATCTGTCAGTACACAATCCGCGTTCTACTAACATTGTCAGCAGCCGGCTATCGTGCTTTCGACGGCAAGCAATCACCATGTGTGTAATAGTAAAATGACCTCTCAATCGGCATTGCCGCAATCACTTAAGGACTGCAAAAGTTTTAATTGCCCACTCACCTCCGGACATGGAAAAGGCCGACTGAGTTGCGGTACGTATTCTCTACTAAAAAGGCAGATGAGCACGATGATTAAGTTTCCACGATAGCGTTGTCCTCCGTAGGGGCACCATGTCAGGCAGACAGTCTCCAAAATATAGTAAGAGGTGAATGCTTGGCATGTTGGATCTAATTGCGCAACTACCATTCCTGCGCACTTACAACCAACTAGCGCGTATGTTTATTCAGTAGAAAAACAATTTTCGATTCAGAAATGTGCAAAATGAATTGGATTGAATGGTGGCCTTGTCATCTTGCTGCGTATTCGTTGCAACTGAAAACCTAAATATAACCTTTTTAATGTTCTTTTGACACTCTCTCACTGCTTAAATAGCAACTGATTGCAATTAATCCTCTATTTTCTGCAACTGCAATTTGCTCATCTCAAAGGTAGTTTATGCAGGCTTACGTCGATCAACTGGAGAGCACACAGACGCTTTCAGGAGTACAATGGGCATTAGACGATATCAGTTCAATGAACATGTTGCAAGCTTCATGTCCATGGACGTTCTAGGTTGGTGTTCTGCTCAAAGAACTTTGTGGTTCCTGTCCAGCCACAAATGTTCGTCCTATTTGATGCATAGGTATAACTGAGGATTTGTCAAATTCGTTGGAGCTGACCCTATCGACGACAGGGCCATCGCAAGGGCATACACGCAGTAAAATTATGCGCTGGAGGATATATCATGGTCCACGTCGATTAGCATAATTAACAGTCAAGTGACAACCTTCGTTCCGTGGCTTGGTTTTTTCTTTTGGTTTGTGGTTGGCCTTCTGCTATAGGGACTGCAATGCTTACCGAATCGCCAGTTGTCATGGTTGTGTCCTTTCAGGAGAGTTGCTGTGGTCCTGTACCATTCCATGCAGTTTTGATAGCCAATCGAATCGTTTAACAAAGGCGAAATAGCGGCAATGAGGGAAGGTTGGAGGAAAGAGAACTGGATTCAGCGGAGACATATACCAAGTCTAACGATTAGGTTTACGAAACTCTCCTCGGACATGTTCGGCACATCGGCCGAAACTGCACCATTATCCTGGGTTTATCGTGGTATCTGCTCAAAATCATGGAATAAAACCGTGCGCTATCTGAGAATATAACAAAGACATTCTCAGGAGGATGCAATTTCATCGTTGATTTAAGGGTTCAACCGTACGCACATATCTCATATTGTATCCACGCCAATCGTCCTAATGATTCCGAGGACGTTTCAATGTTGCGTTTGATGGCAGACCTTAAACGTAGTTTACTTGTAAATCTCCTTTTCATTATCAAGAATGGTGCGAGAGAGTGCTGAGTAGAAGTAGGCCAAAAACACAATTCGACTGGCCCCTCAACGATTGATTCTTCAGACAAACACGCATCCAACAGGGGTGCTTGATTTTATGTCAAATTGTGTCTGAACCTATTGATTCACAGAGATTGTTTAACCTCTCACTTCGTGAGGTTAAGGCTCTTTGACAAATTTGTTTGTGTAAGTGGGTGTGTGGTGTGGTCTTAATGACAGCATCTAGCTATCTTTAGAACACCAGGGGTCAAACTGTTGCGTTGCCAGATAATCTGCAGGAGCTGCTCACAATCTCCCGTGTGATGCTCAAGATGCATAAGCACTGCTTAAAATGCAGGCCACATGGGTGCAGCACAATTAAAAATCAATACTAATTGCACGGGAATTTAAACCAGTTTTTGACACTTGTGCATTGCAATGTTTTGTTGTGAATCGTGTTTATTCACATCCCTTAATTCCAAAAAACCTTGCGTTATCTGCGAATACCCAAAAGAAATTCTCAGCAGAATGCAGTTTTTTCGTACATCTAAAGTTCAACCGCATGCTCATATCACATATTGTATCCTCGCTCCACTATCTAATGATTTCAATGACGGTTCAAAAAAAATTGATCTCGGTTTCGAAGGACGTTTTAATGGTGACTTTGATGGCAGAACTTGGAAGAATTCGGTTCGTAAATTACCGATTTATTGTTAGATATGGCGGGAAAAAAACGCTGAGCAGAAGTTGGCCAAACACACATTTCGAATGGCCCGTCAACGATTTGCTCTTCAGACGAACGTGCAGTCAGTTACTGGTGCTTGATTTTGTGTAAAATTGTGTGTGATACTATTAAATGACAGAGACTGTGCTACTTCACATTGTAAAGTTAAGGCTACTTGACGAAGACTTGTGCAAACGGTTGCGTGGTGTGGTCTCTTATACAGCACCTAGCTGCCCCCAGAACACTATGAGTCAAACTGTAGCTTTGCCAGATCATCTTCAAGAGCTCGTCACAATCTCCCGTGTGATGCTCAAGATGCATAAGCACTGTTTAAAATGCAGGCCACATGGGTGCAGCACAATTAAAAATCAATGCTAATTGCACAGGAATTTGAACCAAGTTTTGACGCATGTCCATTGCTATGTTTTGTTGTGATTCGTGTTTATTCACACCCCTTAATCCGGTCGCTCCACCACCCACATAGAGTTCCCCTTTTTGCAGCATGTCATCAGTCGCGTGGATCCTTAACCCCCCCCTCATTCGCACGAATATTTATCTTGGACTATCCTCACACATGGGTCTTGATGTTAGCGCATGCACAACTCAAACATCCGAGGTATAAACAGGCACGCAAAAACCACACACACAACACAACGACACCAACGTGGGTGAACTCTGAAGTAAACGGTTATGTCCGCGTTCTGTCAAGTCTTTTTCTTCATCGCGGGTACCAAGGAAACGCAATCGGGCCAGGATTAATCCGTGGCCCCGGCGTGGTTCAAGACAACATGCTGGGGCTCACAACACTTACAAGGTTAGACGTGTTAATTTCCCGTTTACTGTTGTTTAGGTCAAAATATTCTGCATATCTTTAGCAATAATGAGGTGGCAGCCTGCGGTTGCATAGCATCCGAGACACTGTAGGAGCCAGCGATAGTGATAGCATTTAATGTCCTTTCGCGTTGGGGAATAGATAATACGACTTATGCACTTTCAGGCAACTCTTTTAAAATAGGATTGTGAATGGTCATGAAGTGAGCCAGCTATGTGTCAAATGCGTGACATCAAATCTTGAGTGATCTTCAGCAACTTTGGCGGCATTTGCTACCCATGCATGAACACGACCATTCTCATGCTAATACAAGTATTACATTCAGTTTAGTATTTCTTAGCACGTTCAGTGACTGTTACCTCGCACACTTGTGTAGTTTTTTGCCAATGAACTAATTTGACTGGCTCTTTTACTAATAAACTACTGTTTGAATTCCATGCAGTTTAAATTTAACGCCAATTGCATATGGTTGTGTTTAGCAGTAGTCTAATTTGTAGTTCACACCACGCACACACTGACGCAAACGACATCACCAAAGAGAAATTTGCTTTGTGAATTCAAGTGGCATATTTTCGTTCCACCCAATGGTATCTGACACAATTTGATATAAATTGAACCAACAGACGCTGCGGAGTAATATTTAGCTGTCCTCCGATATGCTAAGTCAGAAGACGAAGCTTGTGATTGGTGTTTTGGTTGCTGGTCTGCTGTTTCTCAGAGCTATCTGGCGTCATGAGTTGAAACAGAAGCCTGATTCGGAAATTATGGACTCCCAGCTTATGCTTACACAGACACACTGCAAATGGCCTCCAAGTATGCCTGAAGACATCCAGTCGGAGGAGGGTGAATACAACATAACGCTCTGTGTACGACCCAGTCCCGAGGCGACAGTCAAAAAGACACCAAAATCGTATCCACTTGTGGATCTCTTTCGAAAATTTAGAACACCAATCAAGGTCTCATTTGAAGACCTCAAAACGTTACCCCGACCATTCTGGAAATGGGTGAAATACCCAGAGGTGTACCACACGTATCCACAGGATGTTCCTCTGAAGCAAATCGTCAAAGCCATCAAGGCAGGTCTTCCTGTCTTCGATGTAGGTTTAATACTATTTGTTTAATTAATGTCAACTCATTCCAGGTAGTTTTCCGTGCTGCAATATTCAAGTTGATTGACGTACGAATGTACAACAAAAATGAACTCTACTTCTTGACGCACTGACAACGACCCAGATAGTCACCACCTAAGATTAGTGGCGATCGGTTGTGCACGGAAGACGCATTCACAAATGCGCAACTATTGATTTGCAGAATAGGTTAAGATGCATAGCAAAATTTGATGTGAAACCAGGAAAGGTAGCTTAGCTAAATCATGAAGATTAAAAATATACTTACCAAATCACTTTCAATTCAGCACTTTCAAACGTATCCTAGACGCCAGTTAAAGGACTCAGTCCAGATGTGTGAGCGCAATGAGTAGGAAGTACCAGCAATAATAATTACCAGATATTCATTTGGTGGTTCTTGCAGATGCCTGAGTACAATTTTCCCATCCGCATTCTGAAAACCAGTACAAAAGTGTGTGCACGCGACACACACCACGACCTCGTCATCGTGGTGAAAAGTGGCAATCTGGGATGGGATGGCAGAACGGCATTTCGAGCCTACATGCAACGTGAAAAGGCCCGTTATCCGAAGCTCAAGGTGGGAGTCGTCTTCAGTCTGGGAATGCCACGCAAACACGGTGGCAGATTATTCAATCGTGATGGCCACATCATTAGGCTGAATGGAACGACTGGTGACAGGATGGAGGAATACGACGGTAAAGCCGATGTAGTCATGCAGCGCATTAACCAGGAAATCGACCAATTCGATGACATACTGCTGGGTGACTACGAGGATACGTATTACAACGTGACGTGGAAGACCTTCACGAACCTGCGATGGCTGTCGGCATTCTGCGACAAACACCACGCCAACGCCTTCATGATGATCGACGACGATCATCGCATGAATCTCTCATTGGTGGCAGAGTTCCTCACAACTGCATCAACTGAGACGATGCGAAAATCCATTTTCGGCTACATCGCTAAATCCGACAAGGCAATTAGGTCACCATCAGAGAAGAGGTTCCTGTCATACCGCGAATTCCCATGGGATTTGATGTATCCGTATCCATGGGGATTTGCCCAATTCATTGGAGCTGACATCGTCGACGACATGGCCATCGCGAGTGCATACACGCGGTTCAATTATGCACCAGATGATGTAGTCCTTGGAATTGTAGCATTGAAACTAGGCATCAATTTGCACAATGTGGACTCAATGTCATATCCCCTCTGGAGTAAGGAGGGCAACCAGATGCCGTTTCCACTAATGGTGGGTCCGAGCGAGCTGTTTGATGCAAATCAGACCTCAAGCAACTGATCATGATTGTCTCTTTTTCTGTATTGTTATTCAGTACTTCTCTCGTATCCAGTCTTAAATCTCGTGTTACAGTTAGTGCACGGTTGTAATGGTATGAGACGTAAATTTGGAGTGGGTAACTTTGCACGTGCCGCAAGTGTTGAGATGTCTGAAGTCAGTTGTGCCATTTTACCTACCCAACAATAAGGGGCTTGTATTCGAAACACCTACCAATCAGGTCTGGGTCATGCCTTGCACGGTTTCATACAAAGAATTCGGTCGTAGTAATCGAAGAGACTGAAGCTCACAAGCTTTGTCCAAACCATATTGGCAACAGTGTGCACAAAAATCGTTCTTTTATGCCAAACAAGTCAATCGGTTGGTCATAGACTAGGTTGCACGATGAGGAAGAGAATTAAACAAATTCATAGACTTGTCATTCTGCGAAATATTAGCTGTAAAATTACGTTTTAGGGCCATGGAACCAGGCCTGGAGCTTCGCAGCGAATACCGACTAGGAAGTACTACATAGGCCTGAACTAAGCTCTTTCCTCGACAAGTTTATTTCAAATCACGTTCAAAAAATAGTGTCAAAAATGACTTAACAATGCAGAATACCCGGCGATGTTTGTACTTGTGATGCTTCATCTGGGTTTTTTTAACAAATTTATTTTAACGCACGTTTTTTAAAAAAATGCCAGAACTGGTTTTACAGTGTAGAAGACACCGGCTCTAGCATGAATTGGACAGGAAAATACGATCAAGCTTCATTCATCAACCACATTCCAGGACCCTCCATCAGCTGCCATCCATCCGAAACCTCCATGCTGTCTGCATTGCTTATTTTCGTGCCTTTTATGTTCATTTTTGAACCTGGTCGTCTACTGACCTTGCACTAGGCCCATTCAAACGCACAAAGGTAAATAATTTACCGTATCTTGCTGGATCCAACATGTCTGTGTTCTAGTGCCGTAATTAAACCGCAAGTTTTTATCATATTGCCGCTCTCTTGCGCATGTGATATGATGACGTCTGGGTTAGCTGAAGTCTTTGAAATAAACAATAACATTATGCCTACCCAACCAACCCACTCACTGTGCATGGCCCCATCGGCAAATAGTGTCTTAGGCAGCCTCGAAGACCAATGGTCTCTTCGGCCAGCTACAATAATAATCTGGTCGAAAATGAGTGCAGGTGTCAAGAGCACGCTACGTGTCATGACGCCACATGTGGATGAATGTCATGATTGGTAGTCCAAAGTAATCAGCTTGCAAACGCAAACATCGGTTCCAGTGTTAACTTGGAATTCGGAACCACTGAGCCTATCACTGACGTGGAAGAGGCAAGCAGATTAAGTGCTAAAGTCAGTTATGGTGGTACCCAGTGCTGCGTTAGTCGTAAACATCTTAGATGTGCAAAACAGCCAAATAGGCCTGCTCGTATAATCCTTTGTAAACTGTTGGTGTGGAAGGAACATTACGTTTGCTGGTACAAATTTGTCACTACACAATCAGAGTTCTACTATTATTGTCGGCAGCCCGCCATCGTAATTTCAGTGGCAAGTAGTCACCTCGTGTGAAGAAGTAAAGTGACTTCTCAATCGGCATTGCCGTAATCATTAAATGATCATGAGTGTTTTAATTGTCCACTCACCGCCGAAATTATGCAGGCCAACTGAGGTGAGGCACGCAGATTCGAAGAAAGAGACAGATGAGCACGATGATCAAATAGCTTTCACAATAATGTTGTCCTCGGTAGGAGAACCATGTCAAAATCGACGTGGTCACATCGACTGTCCCTGAAAATATGTTAGGATGTGAATGCTTGTTGTGTGGGACCTGATGGCAAAACTACCATTTCCGCGTAGTTACAACTAACTTGTGCTTATGTTTATTCACTGGAACAACAATTTTCGATTT